CACGACATGGGTACCCTGGGGAGGCTGAGGAGCTGGGGGCAAGCTACAACTCAGGAGACTGTCTGCTTCACCCCACTTCCCCCCAAAACAGGGGACCCAGGGGAAAGCAGATCCCAAACTGAGACGCAGCACAACCCAAGCCCGCATCCCCACCGGTCCCAGAGAGCTCAGTCACGGTGACGAGGGAACCAGTGGTCCCCAACTACCCGTCCTGGGGGTGTTCCCTGCCCAAGGTGAGAGGTTTAGGGGGGTTCTGTGAGGGGGTTTGGGCCGCTCAGCATCTCACCAGTTTCTTGGAAAGCAGCAGAGCGGTGCTGTTGTCGCTCTCCAGGGCCCAGGAGGCGAAGCGGAGGATGTGCTCCTGGTGCCGCTGCAGCTTGGTCATGGCCCAGTGCTGCCGCTCCAGGTTCTCCTGCTGCCCCTCCGTCACCCTCTGCGAGGAGGAGGGGACGAACGCCACCTCAGGGGAGAGGGACGGTGACAGGGGAAGCGCCTGGCACCGCATTGCCCCCCCCAGCTCACCTGGGCATCGCTCACCAGCACCTTGCCACGCTTGTTGAGCTCCTTCATGATCTGGAGGATGGCCATCTTCACGTCCACTTGCACCCGCTTCTGCATGTCCGTCACCTGGCGGATGCTGCCGGTAGAGAAGGGAAGGGGTGAGGGGGGTAAATGCCCTCGTTGGGGGCAGATAATTCCCCCCCCCGGGGGGGGTGTAGGGTACGTACAAGCTGCGCACTTCCTTGGTGGAACGCTGCAGGCTGGCCTGTTTGTCGCCCAGGCGCTTCACCAGCGTCGCCAGCATCTTGCGCTGGTTCCTCACCGCGTCCTCCAAAAACTGGTACCTGCAGGAGGTTACAGGGGGCGTGGGGGGGTCACAGCAGGGCTGCGAGCCCCCAAAACGCCCCAATGGGGGCAGCCCCCCACACCAGCAACAGAGAATTTGCGTTGCCCATTCCCAATCAAGTTAATTTGCGTTGCCCATTCCCAATCAAGTTAATTTGCGTTGCCCATTCCCAATCAAGTTAATTTGCGTTGCCCATTCCCAATCAAGTTAATTTGGGTTCAGGAGCCGGCGGAGCGAGCAAACCCGTCAGCCCCAAAACTTTGACTTCGCTGTTTAATTGATTGAGCTCTTATGCATCAAAAGTGCTTTTAATGTAACAAATCCATCAGGTAAATAATCTAATTAGATACCTGAATCAAATTAATGATTCAGCCAGGGAATTTAACCAGTCGGAGAGCAAAACCAGGCTATTTTGAAAAAAAAAAAAAAACAATTAAAAAATGGGTTAAAAATCAAGTTACTTGAAATAACTCGCAAGGTAAAATTGAATTACTCTGATTTTTCACGACTAGCAAATTAGATATCGCTAATTCCCTCAAATCGAGAAGCAATTTAAGCCCCTCAAACCAAGCAGTCCACTAATTAACAAAGCAGCTAATTGGATAACATACCTATTTGGTTAAAACCAAAAATTAACCAACACTCTACTTGGTCAATCCCTTCAGGAGTTGGCCAACGACTAACTAATGAGCTTCAATTTTTAAAATCAGAAATTAATTGATGAGGATAATTAGCCCGCAGGCTAACTTCAGGTCTTTTTCAATAACTAATTGTCAGTTTAATTAGTTATCTACCTTCTTAGGTATTAAAAACACATTTAAGGTGCTGCAGGGCCTCGCCAATAAGGTGCGCAGGCGACTTTTTCGGGCGATAAATAAATTTGTTCCCTCATCTGGCTTGCCCCAAATCACCGTTAAGAGGTAACGAGCAGGGTAACTGATTCAAGCGCTAATTAGCCACGGAAAAAAGAATCAATTTTTATTAATTACTGCCGGTGCCCACTCACTGGTGGTCCTTGTGGGCATTGAGCTGGCAGTCACGGCAGGTGAGCGTGTCGCACGTGTTGCAGAAGAGCACCAGCGGCTCGTGCTTGTGCACGGAGCAGTACACGGCGCGCGCTCCCTCCTTCGCCTTGCCGCTGCCTGCGGGAAACAGGGCGTGACATCACCGCGATGTCACCACGACGTCACTGGCACCCCAGCAGGACCCGTTGGCAGAGTAGGTGTCCCCGTGGGACAAGGCATGGACGACAACGACACGCTTCTAAATGCGCCCGAGGGACGTGCCGGCTACAAGGTCACCGCTTCGGGAAGGACGGTGACAGCGCGGTGACAAGGACGGTGACAACACCGTGACAAGGACGGACCTGTGGCCCGGACCGTGTGGTCCTTGGTGTACTTGACCCGCTGGTGGGCCTCCACGCAGGTCTCGCAGAGCGGCTCCGAGCACTCCACGCAGTAGCTGGTGGCCGGTGCGTTGTCCTCGCAGCTGGTGCAGCACTGGGGGCCAAGAGACACGGGGTGTGGGGACACCGGGCTCACCCAGCTGTGGGGAGCTCGCTTCACCCTAATTAACTGTTAATTAAGCATTAACGATGCATTACCTGACTCAACGCCTGGCTGGTGGCAGCCGCCTCGACCCCACTGTCCCTCAAAAAGTAGTTCTCCATGATGTCCTTCAGGTGACACTGGTGTTTGCAGATGGGGCAGTTGACCACTGTGGGGAGGGGAGCGGTGGAGGTGGTGTCAGGGGGGCCCAGGGTCACCCCAAACCCCGGGTCACCACCGTTTGTCAGGGCAAGGACCTGCCATGGACCCGCACGGTGCCTCATGCCTGCCAAAACCACGGTGGCTAACGTGCTTGGGCAGAGGAGGAATAAACCAGAAGATCCTGGGTCCCGACAGCGATGTTGCAGACCTTGGAGTGGAGCCCCACAGCTGTCCCTGATGTCATCGCAGAGGGGACAGAGCCTCAAGGGGTCCCTGCTCCCAAAGCAGGTCCAGCATCAACCCAGGTCACCTATGGCTTTTTCCAGCCAGGTAAGGAAGTTTCTCCCAGTATCCACCGCAAACCTTCACGGCTGCTGCCTCTTGCT